TATAAACTTTTGAATAATATCAGTACATCAGTGATTACTGTATAATGTACAAATTTCTAAAACTGACCGACTCCTCCCTTAGCAAATACTGATATCAGATTGACAAAAGGCAGCTCTGGTGAAGGAAAAAACACAAGAATCATCCATTTACTTGCAGCATCCTTTTCAGAGCAAACCTTTCACCTCTCTGACTTCAAGATTGTTTTGTTATATTCTATACGCTGCTCAAAAGCCCTAAATTTCTTTTAATCCATTATAACATCAGCCCTCCATTTAGAAGTGCTCTCTTCATAAAAACACAGCATGCAGATTTCGACTTCCAAACATATTTCAAGTTTTGACATTTCAATGTGAAAACCATTTACCCTTGTCAAAGGATATCCTCTTATTATCAGAAATAAAATGCGAGCCTCAGAAAATCATTACTTGGTACAATAGCACAATGCTACCTAAACCCTCCAAATCTAAATTGCTCTTTTTGATTTGTGCTATATTTATTTCACTACACTTAACAAAACAGTAACCCTATGGTAACCAGAGAGGGACACAATGCATCGCTCTTTCATGCGGTTTATATGCCTACACCTGCTTTTTACAGCCCCTGGAAATCTTGCCACAATTCAGGTCCGTTTTGCTCACACCAGCAGTGTGTAAGCAGTGTACTGGGAGCGTGAGCCGCGGCTACCACCCAGAGGTCTGCAGCCCAGAGCTGGTCTGTGGACACAGCAGAACCCTGCAGGTCTCCAAGGGCCAAGGAAAGACCCGGGTACTGCCCTGGGACATCAGACCTGCTGGTTTTACAGAGCAGCTGTCGGGAACAGAAACAGGAAAGATGAAAAGCACATTTACCTCTTTTTCATGAGCGTTCCACCACACTGGTATTTGCAGGGGGGATGATCCCTGTATCCTTTGGTTTTTTTCCCAGAAAACACAGAGAAACTCACTGGGAAGTTCTTCAGAAAGGGGCGGTCTGGCAAGGGGAACACCCTGCGCCCAGGCGAAAGGGGCTTCCACGCATCACAAGGCACTGGGTGTCAGTTCAGCTAAGCTTTCACTGCCTTACTGCTGTTTTCACCTCTTTGTCAGAGTATAAAACCACATATAAAGCCACAGTAACATCATGGGAAACAACAAACAACCAAACCAACCAAACAAAAAACCAAACACCCACCGCTTTGCTGAACTTCTCATCCAGTGCAGCAGCTAGTTTTTAAGGTTGAGCAAACTGCCCTGTACTTAACTTAAAAAAACCAAACCACACCACACACACAAACCTGGGGATAGGCACGAAGCAGGAAAACAAAGAGAAAATCCCAGAATGATTCTGGAAACACAATTCAGTGCAGACTAGTAATTCTGTTCCTGTTCCACAGGAGCTGGATGTCAGAGTAAGCCACAGGGAGCTATTAAGCATGATTGTTTTAAAAGAAGGTCCAAATATCTGTGATGCACACCCACTGGTCTGTGCAACTGAGAGATTGTGTGCTTGATTCAAGCAGCCTACGGAAATATTTCATTTGGAGAGAGTGAATGCGTAAGAAGGAGGAACAAACAACTCTGCCTTGAGTGAGACATAACACAAACAAACACTTTCCAGCAAAACCTGCCAACTGGCTTCATGCGGGCACATTCAGATCATTAGGAACTGCCACATGCTAATATCCGTTAGCAAACTTCTTACAGTCTCTTAGACAGATTTTCATCCAGATTTTAAGTTGATATATATATTTTTGTATACAAAAGCCTGCAGACAGAAAAAGGTAAAGAATACAAATGTAACTTCCGCATCAAAGGCCATGGGGTGAATCACTCATAATATCATTCACGCACCAAACTGGCAGTGAAACAGAGGTTTAATGATACTTTGGATGATTTCTATCTCCCAAGAACTCACTCTGTAAGATTAAAATTCCAAATTTTCCAAGGTCCTTAATGCCCAAAGGTTAATTTGCAATTTAAAAAAAACCCCAAAGTAAAATAGGGAAGAACAGGAACACCTCATTCAAATTCTGGATGAAGAGCCAAGCTGAAGGCATTTATTTTGTGGAACTAAAAAAAATAACAATCAGAGCTCTAGGGCAACCACACCAGCGGGCACAGTGAGGACGAAGCAGCTCCATCCATCATCCGCGCACCTGTCAAACGCGGCATCTCCTGTGGATCTGCAAGAGCTGGCCTCGCGTTAGCCCTGGGGGAGAGCTTCTGCCGGGGATCCTGCCCACGCCGAACGGCAGGCTCCTGCTGCCCGTCAGCAGCGGAACAGCCACGGCCCAAGCTGCAGACTGGAAAGCGCAGACTCCAGGCACATAAAACCAGCCTGTGGAACAAAGCCACAGGGCCAGTTTCTTTAAGTGAGCGCCGCAGAGTCATTTTCCCTGGCTCATTTCACCTTTCATTACAGGTCCTGAGCAGAGCACCTTCGAGAAGGAGAGGCGGTCACAACCCAGAACACCGCAAGAGCCTTTCAGGGTGCTTCTCCTCCGCCAGGGCTTCATTCTTGCTCCGTTTCTCAAAGGGCTTCAGTGCTGGAAACAAGAAAGACTCTGCCTGGGGATTGCAAGGCAACCCTGCACAGCCAGGCACTGCACGCTGCCAAGGGCGGGACACAAAGATGCTGTGACGTGTGGTGTCCACTGCTCGGTCCTGACAACTCACCGCTCAGCGTGCTGCTTCACACAGTTAATTCTGAAGCCCTTAACTCTTCTAAGATTTAAGAGGAGAGGCTGAGAAAGCTGGGACTGTTTTGGAAGAGAAGGCTCAGGGGAATCTTATCAAAGTGCAGCAATACCCGACGGGAGGGAGCAAAGATGACAGTCTATTCTCAGCAGCATCCTGCGAGAGAACAAGAGACAACAGCACAGACCAAAACACAGGAAATTCCCTCAAAACATCATAAAAAGCTTTTGGTACTATGGGGGCAGTCAAACGCCGTGGCAGGTTGCCCAGAGTGGGTATGGGGTCTCCATCCCTGGAGATACTGAGGTCTCCCTATGGAGCCTCCATCCCTGGCGATACGCACACCTGAGAGGACAAGTCCCTGCGCAGGGCTGGGCCATCTCCAGAGGGTCGCCTAGCCTCCGCCATTCAGTGCGTCCTACCAACATCTGCGGATCTGCTCTGAAGACCACAGACCTGAAAATAAGTTACTCGAATATCGGGTATTACAATGTGCAAGTGTCTTCAAGAGTCCAGGGCACTGGACCCTCTTTTAAAAGGGAAGAAATTACCGAGGCAACAGTTACCTGCATCACAGGGAAGGAAAACCTATCATCACGTGCCTGACATCCTGGGAAAGTGAGATAAAGCTAGGACATCAGTAATCTTAATGGGTTTGATACACATTAAACAGCAAATAAATGATATGCTACCGTTATCAATCTTACAGCAACAACGCAGGCAGAAAAACACACACAGTAAAGAGGGGAAAGGCCCACGGGAGGGGAACATCTTTAGTGGGGTATAACACAAGTTTGAAGCCAAACTGGAATGTAATGACACTCTGACACAGCAACAAAGACCCCTTCTGCCTCCATATAAGCAATCTGCCCAGCCAGCATATTGCTGTTTACAGACAAATATTCACTACACGCTCCCATTTAGTTCAAGGAATGGAAACGGCAGCAAAACCCAACCATATAAAACAAAGACATTTAACATTCAATGCCCTCTGCTTCCCCGAGTTGATCTCCTCTTTCCTATGTCTTCCTGGGCTTTAATCTACCGTTTAATATCTGCCTCTGTGAGAGGCAACATCTTTAATCCCCATGCTGACTTTTAAAAACTCTTTGTGAAGCAAAATGTATTCAGAAAAAATTGTTTCTGTTAAACTTTTCAACAACTAAATTGTTCTTTTAATAAACGATGATGGAGCCAAGTACTATATCACTCTTAGTATTTGCAGAACAAGGAGGAAGAGGCACATACTATGGGTGTAGTGGGTGGGAAACTAAGAAATGTTACTCCTAGCTCAGCTGTTGACCTTCAGCTACTTCCCCTGATTATCTCCCACTTCTAAACATCGGAACCTTCTTCTTCCCAGTAATGCAGACCTGCGAAGGGTGCCTTCTCCTCTCACTTCTGTTATCAACAAGATAGCAAGATTATTATCAAGATTAGCTTTCTTACTTTTAGACACGTATCAAAAACCAATTATTTGGTATTTGTTTTCAATGACTTCTTCCCCTTTCCTCCAGAAACCGGGTCCGCAGCAGCCAGTATTGCAAAAGGATGTTTATTGAAGTATTCATTGTCATTCTCTTTGATGATTGATGAAGTAGATAGCAAGTTATGATCTATGAAGTAAATATCGTAAACAGAGACAAACGCTACCCTCAAAAACTAGGCAGATCTTACCAGCAATAACAGCTGAGTCTCCAATAAAATTATCACTGAGCTATCAAAAGCATAAAATCTTACATTATTTATACAGCTTTCCTTGATCCTTCATTTTCTGAAACCCAGTAAGGCAGTTTCAGGAAGCAAAACTAAATGCAAGAAGAAAGAAAAGTGAATGGCCGTCAGGACTTCAAGGCTCAGTGGCATTCTACCACTGACAGCAAATACTGGGTCACTTAAACTCTATTTCTTACAGCAACCCTCAACGTAAAGAACTATTAAAAGCCTTAGGCTATACCAATTTGTGGAATTCTCTAAGTAAAAGCTCAAACAGAAGGGAAGATGATGCAGTGGAAGAGAAACACCAAACACTCTCCTGGTTCCACAGACATTCCACTCACGATTTCTGTATCAGAAGGAACATTTACACTATCATTCCTCTATCAAGTCATTACAAAACTATTCAGTGAATTCTAAATGCATTCCAGCTCCATCCCTCGAGCAACACAAGAGCCAGAAACACAGAGAAGAATGATCAGTAACCACAGCTTAGGAACCCCTCCTGTGAAGCAGGACATAGACATTGCTCGAGGTTTCTGGCAAAGTTTTTCCATGTTCGGGCTAATCTAGTACAAACCAGGGAGAAGAGACTCCTCTTCACTGACCTGCTTGTTGATCCCGATGAGAGTGAAAATGCAGGAGAAATGGATCTCTGGCTTTCCTCTGAGGAATGAGGTTCACTTCTCTTGCTCTCGGGAGGTTCTGGTTTGAGTATCTGGGCTTTTCCGGGGACGACAGTTGTGTGATGCTCTTCCCTTTGTTCTACCAAGAAGAAACGTAGAAATTAGCAAGAATGACAAAGCAAAATACCATTGTTTAAATTTTTGCAGCTTGGAGATAGATTTGAAGAATAATCCAAGTTTTAAAATATTTAAATACTAACACCCCATTCCCACATATTTTCTTCCTGAAACTCTCACCGTTTCAAAGGTTTTATTTCTTTTCCTGTGTAGTCAAAAAAACCCCACCCTCTAAGAACCAGAGACTGAAACAGGAACATTTCGTTGTTATGAGTGTCAAATACAAACAAGGAGAGAAATAAAGGGCAGGGATATTTGTCACATTTCATGAGATGAAGCTTTATTTCAGAAATCAGCAAACACTAGCTCTTCTCTGCTTCTTGCTACCAAGTCACTTCATCCACTGCATGAGACAGCTTGATAGCTCTCACGTTTTACAGATCAAGTTAACAGGCTTGTTTCAATAAGAGAAGCATTGTGATTTATTTCCTTATACATCTAAGACAATGTCAATCTAGATAATTTACATTTCCAATAGGAAAAATCATTTCTAGGCAACACATCTCAAACACAAATTGTAAAACCATTCCATTATTTTTGTGTCAAACGTTTTTATCTATAAAAAGATGAACAGTTCTCTGAAAAGATACCTTCCATTTCTCTAAAGAGAAGGAAATAGACTAGAAAGTATGGTGTGTAAAGATAAACCACTCTTATGCCATACCCACAAATATTTTCAAGTGAGTTATTTAACTGGAAAGTTGCACAGGACACTGGAACCATACAGAGACTCGTCTCATTAACGATCTTTGTCATGGCCGTGCCCAGACGTGTTCTGTCCACCCCCAGGAACTGAGCTATATTCCTGCTCAAACCACTTTGACTTTTCTACCCCTCCAGAAATGGTTTTGACAGAAATGGCCAAACAGAACTATAATTAGAGCCTGGAAGAGCGATACACCCTTTGAATTCAGCTACAGTTTGCCCTTTCCCTTCCGCTAAAATGCATAATTAAATAGCAGGAGCACATTTTTGTCTGTTGAAAACAACCGTCAGATTACGGTGAGTCAGTTGTCCAGCTAATGAAAAGTAACTCTGAAATTAACAGGTTAAAAATAGCAAAGACCAATAACATGCAATAATGCAACCCAGAAGAGGTGTAACACAAATATCCAACTCTTATGGTGCTTCCCCTTGGGCAAAACAAAAACCTGTGTTCAAAAGTTATAAAATAGAAAGACTGAAATCCAACATTTTAAGTTTAAAGATGCAAAACAAGGCAACATAAATCAGGAAGGGAAGATTAAAACATCATATCCAGAGTGAGATTTTCTGAGAGGTTTAAGTTACATCAATCAATATTGCAGCAGAGGGCAAGGGCAGATATAAAGGGCTTTAAAAAGAAAAAATGGGATGTTTTAATTTGTACGATTCCACTATTTCCATGAGGATCCAAATAAAGTGGGTAAGCAGTGCACACAAAGCCTTTGCTCTTCTCGGCAGTCATGCATTCGAACGGCGAGTCATCAGACATTGATGGTTTTCTTCCTTTCACTTATTATAACTTCCAGTTTAATAAAAGGGTAATTGTTAATAAAGAACACTGAGGAAACGGGCTTTAGGCCTTTGTGCCTCCACCTGCAAATCATCTTTTTGGTTTTTTTTGTTTTTTTTTTAAATGGTACACAAACAGTCAACCAGGTTTCGCATAAAACTGGAAACTGAAATTTCCAAAATTATTGAGCGCTCAGTGCACAAAAAGCATAATGAATATTTTGCAGGTCGGTCAGAACCAGACAAGGTGGTATCGTGTACTCAAGTCACCACGATACGGGCTGACACACCTGACAGAAGTTATTTTCTACCTGAGCACTCTTTTGGAAAAACGACATGGTTTTACTTCAGCTTCTCAAAGTCTGCTGTTCAGTGCCCAGAGAAAAAGCTTACCCAGAGGACAGAAACCCAGCAACGTACAGTAGCCGATCGCTCCACGGAGCAGAGCTAGAAATTAATATTTCCAAGCCTGTGATCCCATTATCAAATAACCCATTGCTTGTGTCTCTGCTATAGAGGAGGAATACCACTGTAAACTATGTCAAACAAGATAAACTTTATCCTTGAGATTCCTTAATTTTTACCCTTCACCTAAAAGGATTATGCATTGCATCAAGGTCTGCATGCAATGATAAGGATAAAATTCATGCTATTATACTGGTATTTTCATTTCTTTTTATTCTGGAGAGCTCTGCCAGAGGAGACAGCACAGAAGATAGCTGGAGATTGATTCCACTCAGCTGAGGAAGAGCTGGGATTTGTGAGCGCTGATGCAAACTGAACTGCCTTATCTTCCCAAGGATACAGACAACAGCGCATCCAACTCTGGTCAATGGAATTCTCTCCAAAATTCAGTATCTTGAATAAATTATAACTCACAAGCTACATTAGGTTCCAGAATGCTCTTCTGAGTCACACGTACAGTGCCACAGCAACCAGTGACACATGACAACGAGCCTGACCAAGCCGAGGGGAACAAGTTAAAAGCACACGTGGGTATTTCGTTGATGTTAGCGAGGATAACAAGCATATGCCCAGTGTTGTGCCTAACTCAGAGCTGAGCAGCTGCAGTTGTGCATTCCCACCTCTCACGGTGTTGGAGGAGACACACACAAAATGAAGCGAGTTAAAAAAAGAGAAGCAACATACTGTATAAACAGTCTGAAAGAGACCAAAGTGTTTTATTGCTCCAACATTCCCAGCTGCCAGCTCCCTATCCTGTTAATGCCAGAGAAACGCTGAAACCCAGAAGCAATACCTGTGGTCACCTTCACTTCAAAGATGCAGATTGTCACCTGCCTACTCCCAGCAACTTCAGCATATGGGATTGGAACCCAAGATCCAGATAATTAAAATATGCACCTAAATAAAGCACATCTAGACACAGTCCCATTAAAATTGAACAAATCATGTATTTATTATGGGCTGTGCTTATGTATCACACTAAAATCAATGGCAGTCAATCTTTTTAAGGTCTGTTTAGTTTTTATGCCTTTTTTTTTTTTTCCTCCCCTTAAGGACTGTGGGAGAAGAACAGTGGGAGGAAAGAACACTGTTCAGGAAACTCCCTCACTTATTAGTGTGGGTCAAAGAGAGGGACGATATTGAACAACATGACTAACCTGTGGCTGCTGGCAATCCTCTGACAGTGACTTCTTCTTTGTTCTGAGCACTTTCTGTTTTCCTCTTACCACTTTTCTTCCATCGATTATTTACTTGATCCACCAAAAACTGAAATTCTCTTCTGTGTTTGTTTCCTGAAACATAACAGTGCATTACTGATCATTGCCACAGAACCATTAAGGTACACCATAAACAAAGCGAAAGGCTGTGAACAGAAAGAAACACAAAATACTGAACAACAACCATTTTTGTTACAGCAAATGAAAGCCAACTCATCACTGCAATATGTTCCATATTTTACTAATGATCCAAATCTGTGCCTATGTTTTTACAGAGTTACCCAGTTGTCAAGATCACTCGCAGAGATTAAAAGTTAATTTTTGCACAGAACCAGAATTTGCAGGGGAAAAAAAAAAACAAAACACAAATCCAGAAAAAAACCCCCAGAATTTTTTGTGTGTTGTTTCTTTATACTATCTGGGGTTCTTTTCTTCCTAAACTTGTTAACTGTTGCAAACACCATTGTGACCCGTTTCTGCAGTACAGCAATGCCAAAAGCCTCTGTGTCGTGCTTATCGTCCCGTGTTGATTCAGATCCTCTCATCACAGCTAATTGCTCTTTGGCAAGCTCTTTGCACTCCAATCACCTAGCGTGTTCTGTTCAATCCTTGGGTATTTAGCCAAAGCAGTGCTGTTTTTTAATCTAGATACTTCAAATCCTTTACTCTGAGTCTGGGAAAACACCTGCTCCCCTCGGGCAGCCGATGCAGGTTACCCAACCCTCGCTGGGCACGCAGGGAACCCGTTTCCCCGCAGAATGCACCAACTTCTACTGAAATGGTGCTGGAACAGAGCGACCCACAGCCCGTGCCGCGGGGCAGCCCCAGCCCACGCTCACCACCCTTGCTGTACCGAACTCTGCCCCACAGAAAGGAACAGACGAAACCCACTCCTGCTCCTTGTATAGCTGAAAACACCCCATAAGGTCAGCAACTCCTTTGAATCGAAAGAAAGTTCTCATGCAGCTGCCTGTGCTCCAGCCGCTGCACACTCATGATGTAATTCCTTTGGCGCTTCGGTTTTTCCAGTATTACTATTTTTTGTTGTTTTGTTTTATGGTGTCACTGCAAAGCTTTTCAAGCAAAAAAGAAAGGTCCTGGCAAAGCAAGGCACTGTTCAGATATACTGTAAATCACCACTGACACGACATGCCACGCACATTCCATACAGCTACAGGCATTTAAATAATAAAACCACTGCAGATACAATTACAAATATTTAAAACACAAAATATAAATCCATAAGTCTCTGAATCACATTGCCACTTAAAAGATTTATAAGCAGAAAAAACAACAGAATACATTTTTTAAACAAATTTATTTACCGGTAGTTTTTTTTAACTCTTTAAGTAGAGGCCTGACCATAAGAAAAGGAGAGTGAGGTTGACACTGGGCTGAGAGTGTCCCTGAGTTCCCGAGGAGCAGACGGAAGCTACCGCAGGGGCCAGCGAGTTTAATTGCACCTTCCAGGCACAGGCTCTGGAGGCTGCTCAAGCAGAGCTTCCAGTTAGCATATAAACCATCCCCAGGTTCATCAAGCCAAAATATTAATTAGTATTTCAAAAATACTTCACACACACAAAAAAAAAAAAAAAAAAAAAAGAAAGAAAAAACCCAACAGTGTAATTTACAATTTGCCAAAAGCCTGGGAAATTGTAAAGAGGATAAGAAGAAAAAAAAAAAGTTATCACAGCTGTTGTATCTTGCTTTTCACCAAGGCTGTTGCATAGCTCCACTGTGCTGTGTTTGATATGGAAATACAGAACAAAAAGTGTGAGGCTGGGCTTTTTTATTCAGAACTTACGCCAGAGTTAATGAATTCATTAATTCAGCTGTGAATTACCAACCTCGGGTGCAAATGTTGTAAATTAAAAGGGAAAAACCCTTCGTTGTAGAATAAAGCTTTTTCAAGTCCATCTGTGCTACAGTGAAAAAAGGCATTTGATAAAGGTTCTTTTGATCTCTGTCCTCTAATTTTCATGTACAATTCTTTTTTCATGCTTATGATTTTTTCCCTATTGCTTTTATGAGAAAAAATTTGCTGACACTAGTTAACATTTACCTCTTTGGTCATCACTTTTTTATTAATTTTAAAACCATGTGTTCCCATTAAAATGTTTCTCTACCTTCTCTTTTTTCCTCTCATTTTTTTTTTTACTTTCAAATGTTCAGTGAAGCTGCCTGAGGATAATTTATTCACTTGCAGATCTCGATCACTGTGAAACCATATCCTTTTAACAATACAAACTCAGTAAAATACCTGCTTTTGGAAAATTCAGACAGCACACAATATCTTCTTGTTCTAAAATGTGTACAACAGACAAGAAAACAGGCCCCTTCCTCGGACAGCGCGGGTTCAGACTCACCTCCCTGGTTAGCAGAACGCTAATGGGCAGACCGCTAACGAGTTACAAGGTGTGTGCTCTGCTCCGAGGGCCTCCTGCAGGCACTGAACTTTAGATTTGATCTCTGCAGAGCTACTAAAGCCTTGTGGGGGAAAATACCCAATTTGGGATTAATACTTTTAAAATTATTTTACTTTCCCTGCCGCCCCCGCATTGTATTGCTAGAGATTTCTGTATGACAAGAGAGTAATTATTATCCAGTTACTTGGAATTAGAGGAGAATGCTTAAGATTCAAAACCACAAACAGTCCATGTGCACTTAAAAAAATGTATTCTCAGAAACAGCAACAAAAAGCAAGGGAAAAATTTGCTAAAGATTTAGGCCCTTATTTAGCCTTCACAGAAACCCAACTAAAATCAACAAGGCTAAATCGAGCTGCATTATAGAATAATTTATATGCCTGAAGCAATGCGAGAAAACACAGGAAATATGAGCATATTGCAGATTTAAATACACCCTTAAGTATAATCAGAACAAGTTGTCCCTTCATGGCTCTGCTGCTCTGTGGCTGAAAGCAGAGAGGCTTTATGTTCGTCGAACATTGTTTTAGCATTACACGGCTAACGAGCATGTTTGAGGGTGCAAGCAGAGCGCAGGTGAAGCGAAATGAGTGGGTAACAGCAGTAAAGAAATTGTGAATAATAAAACACCACTAGGGAGCTAAATACAAGGTAATGCTATTTAAAACCCGATGTACAAACAGACAAAGAAGGGCCAGGAAATCATCTCAGAGAACACATCAGAAAATCCAGGGCAAGGAAGGGCGAAATCTCAGAAGAAAGCACGGCCAGCTTTCTCCACAGTCACAACTGCACTTCTGTTCTTCAAAACCTGCAGCATAAGAACCGCAGGGACGTCTTACGCAGAGCAGGACGCTGGAACAGAGTGCCCTCCACGTGAGAGCCAGCAGCCCAGGCAGCTCGACGGGACACGGCCGGCATGCAGGGTCTCGGGAGTCCTGCCAGGGAAGTTCTGCTCCTTACTTCCACATGAGGATGCACCGTGCATCCAGTGCAGGAGACAGAAAAACTCTACTTTACTGTTCTTTATGCCCAACAAACACTGGGGACCATTAAGAAGGTAAGTAGAAAGGGCATAAATGGAGATGTGCTAAGCAATCAGCCTCCATCTCAACGTCATCCAGCCCCGGCAGTGAGTTTTGTCAAACATCAGTACTTCACCGGGACTGAGTTTAAAGTGGACATTTCAGCCCAAACAGAGAACTTCCAGTTTTGATTTATTAAATGGAGGCTGGGGGAAGCACACACACATGAGAAATGTGGATATTTTAGTACAAAGGAAAAGAAGGACAATTTAAAAGTAAAACAAAGTGAAACTTGTTTATTACTTACGATAATCAGTGTGGATCTCATCTATTTCTTCCTCTGTCTGGTCCTTCGTAAAGGTCAAACTCTACAGAAATCACACAAATGCTTATTTACAAAAAGAAAAAGATGATAAAGCTGCACTGTTTAAAACTAGGGACTTCAAACGGGAAGAAGGATCAGCTGTGTGTTCCCCCCCCCCAGTACTCACCATGTCATCTGCAGACAGTCATATATATTTAAAGTATGTATACATGCTCTTGCTTTGCTTTCACAAAGCCAACAGGTCTAAGCCAAGCCACCTGATGAAACACCCAGCGTGCATGGACCACAAAACACTTCCTAATGCTGTGCAACAAACATGCTGCAAAAGTCACAAAAATATCATATGTCCTAGGAAACGAACAGGTGCTGTTGCCAATACTGAAGCAAGGAATTTGCTAGCTAAATCCTAGAAAATTCTAGGAAGCAAAATATTCCCCACACTGCCATGGAGGGTCAAAATCCTCCAATATGACCAAGGGGAGTGTTTCTCAAGAACTTTTATTGCAATAAAAAAAAAACCGATCTTTCTTAAATGGTTTGGACATAGAAACATTAGCAGCACATGAAGAACTGCCCATGACATGTGAGCGATATGAGAAAATCACGTTGATGATAAGATGGGATATATGAATTCCAACACGCAACCCGGGAATCTGGGAATTCCCGTAGTGAAGAGACAGGCAAACATGCTCAGTGCCCACTTCCCACAGCCATCCCCCCTTTGAGAACAAGGACAATTAACTTACATTTTCACCACTTTTATTAATTTCAAGTTGAACCCGAATCTTTTCATTCTTTTCCAGCTCTTTAACAACCTCTGCAACTGATGGAAAATACAAGAAAGGGATTACTAAAACAGGAGCTGTTAAATGAGAAGATGTAATGGCACTGAATGAAACTACCATGAATTTAAATCACAGAGACAAACCAGCGTTAACCCTCCAACAGTGAAAACTCAGCCTCCAACCCCAGGCACATCCGAATGGCTCGGCTCTACCCCAGCGCTCAGCGGGTGTTTGTTGGTACGGAGGAACCGCTCCCATCGGCGATGGTGGAGCAGCAGAGGCAGTGCCTGGGACTGGGGAGCAGGAGGTGAGGTGGAAGCCGTGGCTTTGGCCGAGCCCCGCGGTGCCGGCGGCTGGCTCTCAGCCACCTCCTGCGCCGCTCTTCTCCTTTGTGTTCAATTCATGGGAAAACATGGGCTTTTCAAGGAAATCAGACTTGAATCTTACTCTAGCATCCTACAGTGTTTCTGTGGTGCACAGGCATGTCTTTTATACAAGGAGTTTCCAGTTTATAATGTATCTTTCAGTGGAAGATAAAATAACGACATCTCCTGTTTATCTTCCTTTCACCTCCAGGACTGCCTTCCACGGCAACACAACCACCTGCAGGCTTGTGTCCAAAACCCACCGTCCAAAGATGAATTACAGCCTGCTCTAATGATTAAGTCAGACACCTCCACAGCATATAAACAGACGTAAATGCATTTGTTAACATTTTAACTAGAACCACAGCTAGGCAGGACCCCACGTGGTTTATTTTGACATTTACTCTTACAAATCTGTTCCTACACTTCATCACTTTCGCAGAGCTACAAGGTAGCTCAGGGTATTTATTAAAACAAACACTTTCATTAGATGGTAAAGTAGCCAGAGAACAAGAGCTTATATAAGCTGTGAAGGAATAAAACCTGTTCAAAACTGGTTTAGGGGAAATTCGGGAATGTGGCACCCCTGCTTCCTCAGCAGCTCAGCTATTCGTATGACACAGTGACCTTGGGTTCACGCCACCACTGAAAACCCGTGTCTGCATCTTAAGTGCGAGTTTAATGATTCACCCTTTACAAACAGGTATTGAGCCAGAACTCGGTAAAAGTTTTGCATTATTTGGGGCAGAGAAGCTGAAGTACATTGTGACACACTGTGAAACACCAAAACCACACTTTATTTTTGAAGTGCCACAGTGGAAGTTGTGGATATTCAGCATTTCTGACCATCTGATCACATATACAACCACAAGTGTATGGAGTTAACATAAGAGCTTTTCATATTTACTTGAAATAAATACTCCCTGTACTGTCAAATTTGTTAAATACCTGACGAATTAAGTCGTTTTCACTGTGTTTAAATTTGGCAGCCTTCTCAAAGGGCACTTCTCACCCCAGCCCCAAATTATTCCTGTTGTAGATAAGCACCAAATACCAAATGTAAAGCTTAGCTGTGCCCCTGCAGTGGTACACTACCTGACCCACAGAGATGCTGAACTGGGCTGGACACGAACGGCTCCTTGGCTCCTGGACCACTGCCCTGCCCTGCCCACTCATTCAGTTCCCAACAGCCCCACTGCCAGAGAGACCAAACATTTTTCTAGTCCAAATAACTTCCAAGCCCTTCAATACACACAAACCCATCATTTACAACTTCTGGAAGCAATGGTGATCCTGTGCTCAAGGAATTCAGTCTCTCTGTAGACATGAAAATTAAAGAGATCAAACTGAGGAGAAGGAATAATATTTCTCATCTCTCTACCTTGACCAGCTCTTGCTAGAGACCTAGCAGACAGCAAGCTACATCCTGAACCAGCACAGGACATGCAGTACCCGCGATCCGAGACTTTCCGGGACAATGACGGCTGTGCAGCTCCCAGGGGAGTAACATCAGAACGTGATCCTGGTAGAAATTCCTTGAAAAGGGCTGTTTGCCTTAAGCTCCTAATCAAATAAAAATACTATAACTATAAATCTGACATCTGCCTCCCACCAAACACGCCAGTGCACTTGGGCTGTTACTTCATCACTTGCAGGACTGAGCTGCAGATGACAAATGACACAACTTGTGTTCTCGGCGTGTACAAAATAGAGTATAACAAGATGAGCTGGGACAATTGTCCCTCGGGTTCGCACACGCTATTCACCATGTAAAACGATGGCCATGCTGCCTCCAAAAGCAGGCAGCCCAAACACCCTCCTGGGATCGCAGCCCTGGCATTTTCCAAGCATTAAGCCTGAGCACATGCAAACAATAGACTGCTGCTGGAAGGAAGTTTATATTGCACTCACATTGCACTCACATACCCCTGCCCCCATACAGCTGTTTAGTGCTATATATAGTCTAATTGTATAAAATCGCTGCCAAACACCTAGATTGATATAAACTCCAGCAAAACATTAACTCTCTCATATTAATTCATTCTACCCTCACTTATCACCTCCAAAAAGAAAACCAATTTTGAAATTAAATCCAATAAAAATATAAAAGTCTCACTGTATAGAGGAGGAGAACAAATTCAGAACAAAAGATAAATTAATAATCCATTCACTTACTAAGAACTTCAGGTACTTCCAATTTTTTGACTAAAAGCCTCGGAGCATAATTTGGAGGCACTCATTAAAAAGCCACGTCAATAAAAACACAGAACATTTTTCACACCAGGGTTACTAAACCAGGAAGCATCACAGAATTTCAACACAAATTTACATCCTTGCTGGATACTTCCAGAGCATAGCAATGCATTTCTGGTTTTCATTAATTTTCCTTTTTTTCATTAATCTTGATTTATATAAGAAAAATTCTTCCAGCTCCGGTTTTCCCAAGCATCCAAACCAGCCTCGTTACTGCCCTGAGAACTAAGACAAAGAGAAATGCACATAACTATTTTGCAATGGCAACAACTTCCCTAGAATTTCCAACTTACCCGATTTGGGATTTAGAGAATCACACTGAGCATTATACATGTGCACAAATTCTTGGTGTCTTTTGATGAGCTGTTGTCGGGTCCCGTGGGTAGACAGACCATGTTCCTTTAGTTTCTTCTTCAAATCACGATCAGAGAGCAAGTTGTAAACAACTTTAGACATAGGCTTCCTTTTCTGAGCAGAACTGCAAAAGGAAAAGCAAACAAACTTTTAAAAAATTAATACATCTAGTAAGAACCAAAATACCGACTTACATTTTTACAGGGCATCTCACCCACGCTGGGCAAGAAACACTTGAATCATTTCAGCCATGAGAGACACACAACCAGTGACGCAGCATATCGCAGATGGAACAGCGACAGCTCTAGAAAGCCAGAACACTTTTTCTATCTACCACAAAGAAAATTTCAACTTGAATTAGGAGATTTTTCAGCTTTCTGGGAAAACTACTTGGAGAAAGGTACATTGTGAAAGCAACTCTGTAGTTCCCACCTAACAGAAGGGTAGTTTGGTAATACAGAAAGTGACACTAAAGAGAATTAACAGTGCTCTCAGATGAATAACATCTAAAATCCAAATGTACTCCTTCACACTGCCTTATGTCAGAAGAACTCAACGTTCCCAGCATAGCTAGGGAAAACAACTTAATTAGAGGAAACTGCTGTAGAAAATTCAAGTCTACTACAACTTCTGTCATCTAAAATTATCAGAACAGTTTCCTTCTGCTTAACTGAGCTCCATCTTCCCTACACCTCCTGGTGAAATACACTCAAACCGGCCAAAGGTACCAAAATCCATTGACTGCCTCACTCACCTTCTTCAATTTAAATAATTTATTAGTTGCAGACAAACAGCATTTAGCGAGAGACTCACCTGAAACCTGTCTTCAGCACTTTCAACTTACCACGTTGAAAATAAATTTCAAAGTTAAAAAAAAAGCTTATGCAAAAACTGTCATTAATTCATTTGCTGCCATGCAGCCCCTATGGCATAGCAGGCAAAAAGACAAATTACCACAATACGCTTTTCAGGAAAATCCTTTTTTCAGATTCTTTTGGGAAATATAAAAAATTTCATTGACTAATTAAATCTTTTAAAATCCCTGAAAAAGCTTTGTATCATGACCTAGAAGAGCAATGACAGCTTTGCAAGCAGACAGCTACATGAAAACAGTTCACAACAGTTTTGAATCTTGATGTTGGTGGGTTTTTCCCCCATCCTTGAGAAGCGCAGTGTTCTTTGTGAACGTACACTTACCTGTTGGAACTATTCCTTTGCAGGTTTTGGGGACTAGATTATCAGTTCCGCTGAAAAACTGCTCAATTGTTAACATAGCACACCATGTGCTCCTAATTTGAGGATAAACAGAGCTACAATTCCTCAGAGCTAGAGATGTGCTGTTACCGCAACCTGAACACCACTGCCACAAAACACACACATTGCCAAAAAAGCCAGCGTTTGACACACAACAGCCAGTCCCCAAGGAGAAGTATCTTGCATGATACTTTCTTAAGATCCAAGCAGTCTAGATAAAATAAGTATAAAATTCTGTTAGGAATATGGGCTTGACACCAAAGATCTGGCTTTTATTTTCTTTTATTAAGAACAGAGAAAACACTAAAACCATCCCAAATTAAATTTTAAACGTTACATCAGATTTCAATGTGAGTTTACTATGTATTCATCTTCAAAGTCCTTCAGCTTATAGAGTGTATTACAAGCATGACTGGGCAAAAGAAGAGCTTTAACATAAAATTCCTTTCTAAGTCAAGGTTCAGAGGAATTGGAAATACAAGCACGCAGTAAAACTGCAAGAGTTCCTCACAGTTCTTAAGTCTGATCACTTAGAAATAATAATAGCCTAAATTTATGCCAGTAAGTAAAATAAACTGAGATCTACACTTCTGCTGTGAACGTGGTGACCGTGACAAAGCACAGGGTGGAGGCGTAATGTCAAAGGCATGCATTCATCTTATGGAAATTCAGATCTTAAAGAAACAACCTTGACTGGGGCAACGTGGAAAGAACCACAGTGAGCACAGTAAGGTGCAATTTTTGTTTTTTAACTTGACAGCTAGGGGAGAAATTGTCTTTTGGCCCATCTGAATCAGGGGAAGCAATTCATTCACCAAGAGAAAAATGGGAATAAGTGTTATCTGAACAGAATTTTAATGCTAGTGAGAAGAAATGTGATGAGAATAATGTACAGACTAAGCTTTACTCCCTGTGTTGAATTCTTTAAAATATCATCCAGTCTTTTCTTGCCACTAAAAGCCAAAAAGTAACTCCACTGGCAATCCATATACTTTCTTGAGAGGGGAAAATCACCATTATTATATTTATACAGTGATTTTTAGTGTGATCTATACAGCAGGTAACCAAGAAACAAACACAATCCACTGTATTATAACCCATCAACCAACACTTCTTATTGCAGCAGTGCAGAAAAGCAGCTATGTGCATATCAAAGTTCTTGAAGTTGTTTCTTACCTCCTGAGGCTGTCCTTCTTCTCCTCTCTTGTCAAGCAGCTATCCAGATGTTTGTTTATGTATTGCTCTGGAATAGCAACTTCACAAATGGGACAATCCACTGAAAGCAAGCGAGACGGAATTTACTAGCGGGTACGTTACAGCAACAAGCAAGTGTTTTCATCTGAAAACCTAACTGCTGATTGAAGAAAATAAAAATCCAGAACTCCAGATTTCTTTTTTAGAAAATCTGGCATGTCTATCCAGAATCTTCATTTTTTGCTTTCATTTTCATTCCAGAACCCTTATTTCCCTCTCTATGACATATCAGAATGGCTCTCAGCTTCCCTGCAGTCAGGTGGAATGAAATCCCTAATAAAAATCCAGACTAACACACATACTACACAGAAACCTAGGGGCTAACACAAACACAAGCATACTTCCATGCTACTGTCTTTCACTTTTGCAGTATTCTACTCCTCAGTAAAGGAAGCTGCTTCATTTTGATAAAGCAGCACAGCACAAACTTATTCACATTAACATCATGTTCCCAGGCTATGGCTCTCCACAGGACTGCCAGTGCAGCAGTTAACTCGGCCGCGCAGGAATCCTGCCATCCAGCCATGCCCCGTCCTCAGTACAGACACCCAGACTGTGTGACGTGGGCTCAGAGGCTCACAAACACCCCGCAGCATGGGCCCACCCAACGCAGAATTCTTCCGGCATTGTATCTTCAAGCAGCACCTATAAACATTACCTAGAAGGACTGTCAAAAACCACAAACTTAACCACATTATGTCAAAACCAAAAGACTAACTTGAAATGAACAGCATGAGAAAGTGACTCTAACTGACACCCTCGGTATGAGTATGAAGGAAGTTGGGTTTGATTTAAAAGACAAAACAAAAAACAACCTATGAAAAACGCTGTGGAATGTCGTGGGAATTGAGAGTTATCTGGTAACGCTGCCTTGCGATTCCCGACTCCCATGACATCATACTCTAGTCAAAGGTTAAAAAAAAAAAAAAAGGTTGTGACAGTACCATTAGCACAATAGTTCTGAGCAGTCTGTTACTGTACTGGAGTTAACATTTCAATTCTTAACACAGGAACAAATAACACTGACTAAAACCACTTCAGCATCGCCTCATTTCAAGTCTTTCATTCATATTGTTTGACCAGCTACTTTGCATTTGTGGAAATAATTTCAATGTAATGCGTGCTTGAGGATTTTATAAGGTCATAAAATAGTAAGCAAGTGAAAATTTCAATTGCTCAAGAATAAATGAGCGGTAAAATTTCATATGAGTTTTAAATTACTAATGCAAGCAAGTCTCATGCATAAAACTAGGAAACATAACTTCTGGCTAAGCTGATGCCATTTTTATACAGCTACTGTTCTGGCTGAGTTACATCTTTAAGCAGTATTTACCCAGCTAATGAATAAATATGAACTTCAGAGTTACAGCTGAATAAATTGTTAAACACAAGAACAGATAAAAATGAACCAGTAAGAATCAGTGTTCTACTCCTACATGGTCTTTTAATTTAGGGTTTTAATTGGGTCTATAGGATGCCTGCCATTATGTCAAACCTAAGAGGATCCTGTCATTTTATTGCAGTTGATTAGTACAAATGGCATTTTCATGCTTCAAAATAAATTAATCTTAACACTGTAGAGTTACAGACAAATAAGGCAGATTACTTTCTTCTGCAGAGCACATGAATAGGAATATTAACAAAACTTAAACCACAATCATTTTGATTGTGGGTGCCCCCCTCAAATAACAAACATGATAAAATGCCTTGCTTCTGGTTCCTTCAGGATACGAGAGCAGAATGAATGTCGATGCTGTCTGCCTAGTCATTAGGGGAAGCAGAAGAGAAAATGACTTCATTTTTTACTGAGTGAGTCTGTTGTGCAACTGTTGTTTTTTAGAGTTCTTACTCAAAGCAAAGGAATCTGTGAGCATTGAACTCCATTTAATTACTTGGCATCAGCCCAAACTTCCTCATCAAGAATATGCTTGTAGCAGAGCGGTCCCACAGAAGCAGGGATGTGAATGGAGCACAGCCCAGCTGAACAGGCAGGATCCAAACGTGCAATGCAGACCAGAACAATGCAGAGGAATGGGATGAATGCCACATACTGCAGGTACTCCAATGCGTACAGCCAACCGCAACCACGGACTGGGGGAAGAGAACAGGACAAAACCAAAAACTGAGCATCTCACCTTTCTTGACTACTTTTACCAGAGATGTAGAAGGCTTTTCATGACCTTTGGTGCTCTCAGAACTCTCTGGTGATCCCACTTGGTTGTCTTTACCATCAGCCTCTGCAGAACTGCTGGAAAAGTTACGATGTTCCTCAGTTTGGAAAGTCTTCTGTTCTGTTCCTGCCAGGCCATCTGCCTTTTTTAAGGCATTAACTTTTTCCTTTCTCAAGAAACTGTCAATCACTGGTGCCTCTTCTTTTAAAACTGGTCCAGAACCAGGACTCCTAACGTGGCTTTTGCCAGCTGAATGCCTGCTACAGGCCAAGGGAGATGAAACCAGAGGAGTGTCCAAGACCAGCTGGAACAGCTGTTGCCTATAAGCATCCAGAAGACAACACGGAGTTAGCTACATTGGACAGTATTAGCTTTTTCTTTGAGAAGAAACCAGAACAAAAACAGATGGAGAACTTTCATGACCACACAAGGCCCATAGAAATGCTGCTCTCCGATTTTACAGCTGAAGACATTTCAGTCTTTTAAGGTAAAGATTTTCCATGTCTAAGAAGAACAGCTAATAAGTACTGTCTGTACATATATCTTTCAGAAACAAGCTCATATAAGTCACCAGGTAACCCCACAGCACCCTAGTTTAAGAGAAGTGCCTGGTGGACCACAACAACCAGCTCCACACATCGAACGCTTGGCTGTGGTTCTGCTCAAGCCAGACGCAGGAGCCCGATTTGGATTTTCCTGGATTCCTGGATGCAATGAGCACATCTGTCAGTGGCAATTCACATCTGTCCCAAGACACTCCAACTTTCTGCAGTGCAAACAAGTGCAATTAAGCATGGCAGCAAAACTATGTGTTTCTGTCTGCTCATGCCTAGATATGGGCTGGAAGTTTTGGAGGAGGTTAATTCCCCGGCTGACACAGACAGAGCGCTCCAGCTACTGTTGGCGTGGGATCAGCCTCACGGGGAACTCAGGAGCTAGTTAATGGGAACATAAACAGCGTGCCTCCGTGCAGCCCCGTCCCACTCCTACTTCACCTCTGCGGGCTACAAGGGGCATCTTTCATCCAAAAGTATCAGAAAGGCCTGAGAGCATAACGCTGCTCAGGAGCAATCATTGGCAGATGAAGGATCTCATTTGACTGCAGATAAATGCACGGTATTCTTCAGCTTCAGGGTAACAAACTATGGCCTCAGAAGACTTGTCACATCACAGATGGCTGTATTCTATACTCAGGTTCAAAAGTGAACAAATGAGTTGCCTTTTACTCCTAATACACTTGGGCAAAGTTTAACCCTCAGAAGGCTGCAGCTGGGTGTTCTACCAAAGATGCACTTTTAATTTTTAAGATGCACAACTGGCAGTTGCCTCAGTAAAATATGCTCTGATATAAAACAAAGAGAAACTGGAGAAAAATACAAGAACCAAAACCTATCCTAACAACAATTTGATAATAAAGGTTGCTTTCTTTACACCATTTGTCTACAAATAATCACACAGCATTTTTCCTTGTACTGAACGACAAAGACTTATGAATATTTCTAAAGGGATCCACTTTTGGCACAGAATCAATGGAAGAACACTAGGAGGAGAACATGAAAACTTGTTTGCCAAAACACACATGAAATCTCTGTATGGTTTTGGTTTGGTTTTTTTTTTTTTTTTTTTTTTGGTGGGAAAAGTACCAAAAAATGCTCATACTCAATTCAACAGAGGAGAGAAAAGTTCCAGACTGGCTTTTCCCAGAATGTGGTGTTTTGGGACCGCTGAGCAGCTTCACTGGCTGCGGGACGACATCTAGTGGCCCTGACAGACCGGCACCCTACCAACTGGCACCCCCAAAGCCAGGCACCCCAAAGCCAGGCACCCCAGGGATGGACAAGCCAGAGCACTGCAGGCACCCCTCGCACAGCCCTGGGCTCTCCAATGGTACCTTTACCAACTGCCACTCCCCTCCCTCAAGGCCAGAGAGAATTACTCAGATTTCTTGTTTTCACAGGAATTGTGACAGTCGTTATCAGAGTGTTTTGGACAAGCATGACTACCCTGGAAGATCCACCCACCATTCAGAGATGGACAGTTAATGGAGAAGGCCATCCCCTGCCATCACCAGACTGTCCACCTTACCTAGAAACTGGTTCTACTGGTAAGCCTCAGGACAACAACAGTTTTCAGGAAGCTCTGCGTTTTGCAGGCGATTTTCAACATTCTCTGTTATATGCTCCTAAGGATTTAACAGACTACTCTCAGCCCTGAAAGGTTTTAGCAGATACGATTTTACCTTCCTGGCACAAAAGCAATAAATGTGTCTCAGCTGGCAAGCCCCAGCTGAAGGGCACAAGCAGCACCCTTTAAAGGCTGCAATGTGAATCAGCAAAATGTTGGTGAGTCCGAACATACGCTGTTACAGCCTCTAGACAAATCCTTCTCCAAGACCCAACCTCTTTAACCACTGGCTTGGGTTCAGGCTGGGAGTTACTGTTCTTTCAGTTTAACTGAAAATGGATGGCCACCTTAATACACTGTATGCAGCGTACTCACTCTGCCAGACATGCTTTCGTAACAGTATAAACATCTTGCAAGGTTTTTTTCTTCAGACCTGCAAGACCTGGAAAAAAAAAATTAAATTGTCCTCCTTCATCAAGATCCTGGTTCTCATTTAATGGCCTGTTTACTTCTCCCTTGCCGAAGCAGCTACAAAGTAGAGAAAGTAAGTGGGAATCTGGTGCTTCCACATAAATAAATCCCAGGGCAGAGATGGGTCTGTGAATTTTCCTAGGAACAGCTCACACAGGACAGCCTGGACTGTACTAAAGGACAATTTATCTCCTTGAAATTCCTTCTGCAGTTCTCCTAGAAGTTTAATCGGTGTATTAGGAATGTACCTGCTCTCTCAAGCACCCAAGAGCGGATGTGTTTATTCCTCTGACTCACTAGCTGTCAAGTAACCCTGCTTAGGAAACAAAGATATAAACTTGAAAGTAAAAACATCTTTTTCTTCTCTGTGTTTGAAAAAAAGCACAGATCGTTTTCAGGAAGGACTAGTTGTTTACTTAGGCAAGAATCATTCCAATTTCTATTGCTATATTTTCTACCTAGGTGATGCAGAAACTGAGAATTTTCATCAAAATAATCTCTTCATTAGAGGACAATAAACTCAATTTCAAAACAACACCAAAACATTACAATTAGTATTTTTTAAGACACTGGCCTTATTGTAACTGATAAAATATTGTTCATAAAGGAAAGCTGGCACAAATAGCACTCCCCGTTTTGCTGTCCTGACCTGGTCAGAGTGATAAATCCTGCACAGCACAGCAAGCAGAGAGCACGCTGGCAAAGGATGCTCTCACCCCTGACCGCGGCCGTGCGCAGCGTTTATCAGAGCCATGCACTCCGGTAGCTCCCTTGCTGCTCCAGATCTGCGGTGCACCTGAACACAAGGGCAGGGCAACGTGCATTCAGACCCGTCAAAGCCTTTTCCAAACTGCTGCTCTGCCCTTTCACCCAGGACAGACCATGAATGGGCCGTAACGAGGGACACGACATCTTCGCTTTTACTGGAACCATCAGAGTCCACCACTGGAACAGGGAGGACCGGGACTCCCAGGACAGCCCTCACTGAGCGCTCGTTCTCGCGAAGGCTCCGACTCTGCAAACGCTTGTGCATGAGCTAAGCACCGAGCAGCAGCAGAAATGGGCTCAGCACTCGGGTCCACGCAGAACGATTTCCGTTCCATGCACACGCTGACCTTGGAGCACAGCTTTGACTTCGTTAAGCACTACCAACATTAACATCCTACAGGCCTGACTTAAGAAATGGGTTTGCATTTTGTGAAACACTGGAAAGATTTAAGGCCTAATTTGCATTAACGCTGAACTACCTGAGGCTCAAAGTCAAGGGGGTGGGGGCTTGGAGAGCTCAGCACGTTTCAAACATCAGCCCCTGGACTCTGGATTAGTTTTGAGGAGGGCCAAAAGGGAACAAAGCAGATGAGAAAGAGGGCGGAAGACAGAAGATCTGTCCTGTACCCACACAGCCAGAGCAGAGACCAGCAGCGCTCTTATGATTTAATGAGACTCGTTTCACATAACACTCTCCTGACAGTAGCGTTCCCCCTGAGCTCAGGACTATCTGCAGAGTAAACGTGATCTCAGGCTGAGACAGGCAGGAACACAGGGTGCCCAGCATCCGCAGCAATGAGAAATTTACTCCCTATCTAGATTCCTCTTACGAGTCTGTCTCATTAAAGCCGTTATCTTAGTAAACCATTTGGTGTTCAGCCTTTCTTATCGAGATCCAGAAAGATCCCTGCACTGGCTCTCTCCCACCTCACCCCCCACCCTGTGCAGAACACGACACGACAGTTTTTGTCTTATTGATCCAACTTGATTTGAGAAATTGATTGAACTCCAAGTCACAAAATAAAAGATTTTTAAGCTACTCTGACTGGCAAGATTTATACTGATCCATTAAAGCAGTTAAAAAAAATTAACATTTAAGATTCAATATCATAATGGATACAAGTCAGCACTGCTTGTTCCCTACAAAATTAGACGTTAACAAAAAAAATAGTAATCCATTTATCACTAGGAAACACCAAAGACAGGGCTCAAGCTAAAATAATGGAACTGTAGAACTTCAATTCTTCAAATAAACTCAATTCAATCTAATAGTGGTCATACAGAAGGTAAGATCTTAATCACAGAGAAACTCTCCCAAGAAACAAAGCCATAAAGTGAACTATGCTTCCTATTACCTATGAAGCCAAGAATCTCATTGACTTCAAGCTCCAACTTCATGTCAGAGAAAAAGATGACAGTGTCTCCCACAGACATAGGAAAACCTACAAAATAACTGTCAAGTCACAGGGCTGCTTCTAGCCAAAAGAAAACAGAGACATACTACACGGAATCTCAGACATTGCAGCGGTAAGCCTTTACCAAGTCATGCTTATTCTGTCGTTCCTGTCTTTCACAGGGACAAGGGGATCAAAAGTGAATTAAAAATAACCAAAAAAGCAGGTAAGAAATCCAGGTGCAAGCACAATACTCCATTACTTCTCTTATCCAGGGACACTCACATTTGTGGACCCTCAATACTAACATTTTGCCCATCCAGTGACTTCACCAAGAGAATTCTCTTGCCATTACCACTGGACAAAATCTTTCTTTTCAGAATTTCCCCTGCACACATAGCAAGGATCTCAGAGGAAAATCAGTATTACCAGTATTTTCCCTGTAGAATTGTGACACACCTGCTTGACTTCCTACCTGTTGGAAGATACTGACTCACACGGAAGCTAACCAGAAGCAAAACCAAAAGAAGCTTACACAGCCACAACACACCACCTGAATGCACAACCACCTTCAGCCAGAAAATTGTCGGATTTTTCCAAAAACATAAACATTAATCTCCGACACCACCTCTGTGACACCACAATGCTTTCGCCCAGTCCTCCCACTGCTCCTCTCCCAGGACTCCTGGCCTGCTCACACACAGTCCATCACACCTGCCTTCCCAGCTGCCAAACCAGAGATTGTATTAAAAAAATCACAGCATACCTTGCAGAATTAAAGCTCTTTACTAGTTCATCTAACATCCGGTTATTTTTCAGGTCAGATTCCGAGGCTGCCTATTAAAAAAGAAAGAAAGAAAAGGGGGGAAAAAATACAACAAACATTCAAATGCAGTGAAAACAACAAGTACCCAGCAAATGTTCAAGTGATCAATAATCTGTTTCTTGGATGAGTGCCTCAACCACCCCCGCTAAATTGCTGTGTGAATGAAGATGCATAAAGTGTAAACATTTTTTCCTGAAAAATATCTCAAACTAAAATAACTGCCTGAGAAGTGTAAGTCTGGGAAATGACAGGTAATAGATAAAAATGAAGCATAAAGCTAAAGGAAGAAAACCCAGTGTACCCAGTCTCCAGCAATGCTTTTTTGTAGCCCAGTTCTAACTATGTTGAAAACCAAACCATGGATCCCATGAATGTGATGTGAAACTTAAGCAACAACACATGAAAACTGATGAAGGGAAACATTAATCTTTTGAATGATTATGGAATGAAAATATGAATTATGACATGGCTCTGTGCATTCAATTAATTCTTTTTAAGCACTTTCTGATTTTTATCTCTCTGGCTGCCTCTCTCTGCTCTTGTCTTTTACAAAGCTTTTATTAGTCTTGCTCATATGAGTATCTGTGGTTTTTAAGAAGGCGGTAGTAAAACGTACACCCCAGAAATGTACACCAAGTAGTCTGCACTTGTTTGAATGTTTAAGAACTGGCAAAGCTACAAATGGATCTGTTATCCAGTCCTGAAAAGTCTACCCTGGTTCATGCTTTAGGAACACAGAAGAAAATTACTTCTATTTTGCCAATATTCCTGAAGCACCATTCATTGTTTCTAAGCAGCCTACCATTTTAGGAGCTTAATAAAGCCCAATTGGCTTAAGATGGAAAGTTAGATTAAGGCCTAGAATAAATTGCTGCCTGTTTAATCAAAAAAGGCCTTCTAGTCAGACCACAATAACCACCCACCTGCAGAGCAGGCTGAACCTGCCACGAGTGCTTTCCACATTTAACCGAGTTCTCATGGCAAAAGCCTCCTCTCTCTCCCTGGGGGTACCACGGTCCTCTCACCCCCCAAAAGCCTATGCAGTGGAGTCAGCGAGTGTTAGGAGCAGCTGGTCTGCAGACACTTCTAAAGACTCCTTGAAAGATGAAGTGAGGCCACTCAATCACAGAAAACTTAAGTGCCTAAATTTGAGCACTCACGTTTTAAATTATGGTGTATTGTAACAAATTAGGAGGTAACGTGAAATGTTTCGCGACAGATTGTACACACAGCTCTGAGCCAAAACCCAGATTTGATGCTCCTGACAGAAGAGTAGCTCAGAAGCAGAATTCCAGTTGCCAGAGCTGCTCACCAAAAGAAAAACTGGTAACATATGACCAGAATTAATTATTTAGCACAGTCCAAAGGGAAAAGCTCCTGGGATTTGCCAAAGAATAAACAAATAAGCTGAGGAAAAGAAAAACACTTACCACGCAGCATGTTGGACACTGAGTTTTGTAGGACAAAAACTTGCGTATACAAAGGGAACAATCTAGAAAAAGGAAATATGTAATTTTTAAACACGCAGTCTTCCAAATGCAGTTCAACATCCTTACTAGTATCTTTTCTTTTTGTACAATATATGCAAACTATTCCACAATGCGCCAATATTGAAAATACACCATTTTTCCATTGAATTAAGATTACCGTTGTAAGAAAAAAAAAATCCCAATTTTTTGCAAGCATCTTTCAACACCTAGTCTCAGTCCCTCTGTGAAAAGCAGATGTTTGTTTCTGTAATGCAAGACAAGAAAACCTTAGTCTGCTCCCACCACTAAAAGCTTTGTGTTTGCACTGCTCCCTCCCCATCACCACTCTTTGTTGACATGACTAACGTTGGATCACTTTCCCAGCACAGACAGCCCTGCTGCAGCCCAGGTCTCAGCCTGCCGCTCCCGGGGTAACTGTCTGCTCTGGACAGCCCATAGACCAAGAATTAAATCGTGCTACAAAGTTCCCTTCCATCTGCAGTCCACCAAACCCACCTGTGGAACTGCATCCACCAAAGGAGTTGTAAGCCTGAGCCACAGCACTGTGCTTCGGTACAGAGAAAAGAAGAGAATCCCAAAGCCTGAATTTAATCCGAGAACCATCACTGGATGTTTAATGAATGACAGTGTGAAAGCATACAGATCACTGCCAGCAACCAGCAATCTCTCTTGAGATCAAAATGGAAGTAGCAAGGTTGTGGCGGCTCCCAGCACCAGCTCCATCCCTTGCTGGTGGCGGAGGCAGCAGAACGTGGAGCTGAGGTACCCTCAGCCACGGCTGGCCACCAGCCCCTGGCTGCTCCCAGACCCCAGGTTCCTCAGGGGCGTGGTACATTTTCACACCCCCGCGCCAGCGGCCATGCCCACGAGAAGCAGGCCTGGCAGCGATAACCTCTTATACCACCTCTGCTCTAACGGACAGAGTTGGTCCTCTTGGACTGTAAGAATCAGAAATTTCAGTGCCACAATTCACTCTTCCCCGGTGAGATGTCCATACTACAGAAGATGTCCCTCTCCAGACGCATTTATTATGCGAAAGGAACATGAAGGGCACATCCATCCTGTCACTAAAGATACAAGCCAAAGCACTGTGGAAATTAAACTACTGTCGAGAGAGCTACTGAATGCTACCAGTCACCTAAGAACGAGCAGAGGAGGAATTTTAAGTGGCTTTAGGTGCCAACAGATTATAGAGATGGCTACAAGTCCTGCGATAGATCATTAAGAAAAAGAGAAACAGGAAAAAAAATTCTGCAAGCAAATGTATGTAATCTTTTTTGCTCCAATTGTACAATCTCAGTGTCTCAAAGACAACCAAGCAGAAAATATTTCAAGAAATCTTGATTTATTATCCAAAACCTAGGCTAACTGCAGTTTCCAAGGGGAAGATTAAATGTGTAATCTGTAAAAAAAGGAGACAGAATTTTTTTTTAAGTTAAGGGCCTCTGAACCCAGCTGTGTCACAGGCAGGCTGTAACACCAAGCTGCTCTAGAGAATTTCCAGTGCACCCCACCATAAATATGCTGTTTTCCGTGGTGATAGTTTTGCCAAGCTAAACTAAATGTTATTGCTAAACTACAATGTCCTCTTTCATGTAAGAAAGGGGAAGTGCTATGGTTTCTGAACAAAACAATTTTAAGTATTAAGTATTTATTTTAATATGAGGAAAGGCAATGTACTTCCCCCTAATGTGACTTTCAGTAAACTGCTTCACTACCACGTTCCACCAGATATCAGCCTGAGGCAGACAGAGCAGCACAGAAAACTTTAGCTCATAACACTTAATGCTCTCTGCCATACAGCTTTGCATTTTGTTCCACCCTCAAGATGTTATGAAAGATATTTAAATGAAGAACTGCAGGAATAGGTGGCATTTAAGTGCATTAATCCAGATGACATGTTTCTGTTGTCAGAAGGTTGCAACCATAACTGCACAAGAAAAGGTTGCTGGCTGCTTCACAGCTTTCATCCAAAAGAGCTCCTCAGAGGCAAACGTCCTTGCTGGCTAAGCTGCGAGTAGAAGAGCTACATGTTTTCTAAAGGAAATAAAGGGTCAGCAATCTCTGCTTTACACGTCAGTAAATAATAAATGGTCAAATGAGGACTTGTCTCTGAAACTAACGGAGAAAACTCTTTTCTGAGGAACTTTTTCAATAGTTTTATATCCCTCAGCTGAGGTGCAAGAGGATTTTGCCGGCCCACAAGGTCACTCTCCAGTCTCATGTTTCCTGGGAAAGATGTACGAAGACTAAACCACTCACTCAAAGTTTCTTTGAGTACACCTTCCTCAGCCCTACCTGTCTGCCTCCACCTGGCAGCTGAATGACCTGCCAGGCTTACCTGGAGTCGCAGGGCCCAGACACACTCCCACACACCCCCCGCACTCCCTGGGACACACAGCCAGGTGCACGTGGATGAAACACGTTCATTCCAAACTCCACAGAGCCACAGGAGAGAGGGAAGAACGGCCTCTCCACCCCTTTACTGACTTCCCACAAATGCCCCATTTCCTTTGGCTCCTATTCAAGCACTTTTTATTAGAATTGCAATTTTTATTAAAACTAAAGTAAATTTAAAGCGCAAACACTAAGTCAATAGTCGATGTACTAACTGACCCTCCATAACATACGTTAATCTCAGGACAGGAGGCACAGTGTGCTTGGCACTGATGAAGTTGGTACAAGAGGCCGGGATGAGCCCCGCAAGAGCCAGAAACGGACACGCAGCACCTCCAGCGCGAGAGGAGCCCTGCTCCCGAGGGCAGCCCTGCTCCCGAGGCCGTACTCACAGTTATGCGAACACTGGGGGATGATCATCGCGATGCTGAAGTAATCGAAGCATATCCCGCAGCGCAACAGGTCA